AGCCCATAACATTTAACTACAAATATCACTCCTAGAAATACCAAACCGATAAAGAAAAATACGGTAAAAGTGAATGTTTAATACTTTTTTGTTCACTATTTTCTTTTTTTTTCTTCTTTTTGTTTTTGATGGGTGGGCAATCCCAGTAATCTAACCCCCACTCCTAACGATGCCACTACATATACTTATTATTTTTCTACTTAATCTTCTAAACCATAATACCTCTTTCATTCGAGACCCTTCGCTTGCGTGACAGGCGCCCCATCCGGTGACTGAAACAGCTTCTTCCACAGGATATAAAACGTTCCTGAAAGGATGTATGTACTTCCTTCCTTATCTTGACATTTTACGTCGTTTGAGGAAAGTGGTACAAATGCTTTTCGTTTCGGTAGGTCTACTCGCTTTTCTGGAAATCATGATAGGCCTATTTTTAATTACTGATCTATTTGGCGATGTCTTTTAATCTTGATGTTTTGAAGGATGAAAGTTCCTTAGTTGGTCTGTATATACCCTTTTAGGGAGGATTTACAAGTAGGTAGTAGTATGTGAATTCTGGAAATCATGATAGGTCTACTTTACTTGATCATTTATCTTATTTTGTCTTTATGACTGCGATGAAGTTTTGAAAAATAAAACAGCTGGATGATTTACAAACATGAGTCACTACGTAAAGAGTGTGATAATTTCATGGTGTTACTAATAATGGACATTGAATAGAATGGATTTCATATAAAACACAATGCACAATATTAATTGAATTTTCCAGTATACGATAAGCTTCCGTAACTGTCTCACAATTCCAACAAAAACCTTAATGAATGACAGTGTTCATTAACATCATTAAACCTAATAAATCGGTAATTAAATACACCATACTCTTTAGGAAGATGTAGTCTATCGCAAAGAAAGAGATGGAATGCAAATTACTTTTAATACTAAACCGACAACCATGTCTTCAGTCCAACTAGCTTAAATTATCTTAGAAACATTATGTAATTTACATAATTATAATTATAATTTTAGACATACCTAATACGTGAATTAATAACGGTGTTTATTGACATCACAAAACGCAATAGGTCGGTAATAAAACACACCATACTATTTAGAATAATGTGGTCTATCACAAAGAAGGACGGAATGTAAATCACTTTTAATACTGCATCGACGACCATGTCCTCAGTCCAGCCAGGTTAAATAATCTTGGACACATTGTACGTTATAGAGTTAATTTACTTTACTTTTTATGCATGTGTAATGTATTCAAGATATTTGATATGGGAAAGTCCATACGTAGCCCATAACATTTAACTACAAATATCACTCCTAGAAATACCAAACTGATAAAGAAAAATACGGTAAAAGCGAATGTTTAATACTTTTTTGTTCACTATTTTCTTTTTTTTCTTCTTTTTGTTTTTGAAGGGTGGGCAATTCCAGTAATCTAACCCCCACTCCTAACGATGCCACTACATATACTTGTTATTTTTCTACTTAATCTTCTAAATCATAATACCTCTTTCATTCGAGTCCCTTCGCTCGTGTGACAGGCGCCCCATCCGGTGACTGAAACAGCTTCTCCTACAGGATATCAAACGTTCCTGAAAGGATGTATGTACTTCCTTCCTTATCTTGACATTTTACGTCGTTTGAGGAAAGTGGTACAAATGCTTTTCGTTTCGGTAGGTCTACTCGCTTTTCTGGAAATCATGATAGGCCTATTTTTAATTACTGATCTATTCGGCGATGTCTTTATATCTTGATGTTTTGAAGGATGAAAGTTCCTTAGTTGGTCTATATATACTCTTTTATGGGGGATTTACAAGTAGCTTTAAACGACCGTTTTAAGTCACGCGACCCAAAATTAACGTACAGTAAATGCAGTTAGAATAGGCCTACATTTAAATAAATATGGTTTCTGAAAAAAAACTCACTAATACGACAATGGTACAAAAATAGAGAGTATGAAAATTTGGTAAATTAAAAATTCGTCCTTTTACAATAGTATTACGCTAATGATAATGATAATAATGAGGATGAAACAATAACTATATTAATAACAGTATTGTTTATAGTAATGATGATAACAGTCATAATGACCGCAATAATAGTAATGTAGACATTTGCCCGTTCTTGTTTAACAATACACACACATATATATGTGTATACATGTACATTCATTTATATATATACATGTATTTATATGTGTTTGTGGGTGGGTGCGTTTGTGTCTGTATGTTTGCGCTTGTCTGTGCACATTAAGGATGATAATGAAGAACATTTTCTCTCAGAGTAGTAGTATCGTATAACGTCAACAAGCACCACGCCATGATAAGACTGCTCAACAAGGGTCCTAAGAACACGTGAGTGAATGGGGAAAACAATCCTTACGTAGCTCCTGTCCGCGTGTGGTTTCCTTTGACCATAGAGCGGATTAGGGCGGGATTGGCCGCGTGGAAGGAAAGCACGGGGCGTTGTGTTTGTTTATATATATATATATATATATATATATATATATATATATATATATATATATATATATATATATATATGCATATATATACATATGTATGTATACATACATATATAAATATACATATGCATATTCATATATAAGGGCTCTGATACAGGTTTTAGAAAATATGAAAGGACCGTGTATATCTCAAAATAATTTATTTGAAAAAGAGAGCATTACAGTAAAGTAAAAAACCTCGCCGGTTAAAAGGGGGAATAACAAAAATACATGAGAAATACATAGGATGATAACGCCCATATTTACATCGTCCATAAATATCTGTACAAAACCAGCGGGCAAAAGAGCGCACTGCCGCCCGCGTCAGGCGCGTCGGCCGTCGGGTCGGTCGAAGTGCGCAATGAGGCTGGACACGTCGGGTCGTCGGGCGTTGATGATGTCGACGATGTCGGGTCTGAGGGCCGCGCTCCCCACCAGGAAGCCGTCCAGGTCCTCCAGCTGAGCCAGCTCTCGACAGTTGCTCGACGAAACGGAACCTGCGTACAGGATTCTGGTGCTGTTGGCCACCTTGTCGCTGACGTTGGCGCGCAGCCAGTGTCGCAGCTTGGCCAAGGCCTCCTGTACCTGCGCAGCTGTGGCCAGGACGCCGGTATTGCTGGCCCACAGAGCCTCGAAGGCGATCACCACACGCGACCAGTCGCTGATGCTGGCGGCGAGGGACTTCATCTGGCCGAACAGGACGTCGTCCGTGCGACCCTCCTCGCGGTCCTCCGACGTCTCGCACAGACACGCGATTATCTGCAATTACATATTACGAATTAGATGATTCATGCATATTTAGAAAACCAAATTTCCGTCTACCTCATTCGAGTCCTTTTAAACATTCCAAAAGAAAGAAAATGAGGAAGAGGCTGACCTTGATGCCAGTCTGCTGCGCGTGCGCGACCTTCTCGGCGATGAGTTGGTCTGACTCCTTGAAGATGGTCCTTCGCTCAGGGTGACCCAGGATGACCCACTCGCAGCCCGAGTCCAGGATCATGGCGGGAGAAATCTCGCCGCTGAAGTTACCGTGGGCAACCTGTTCACAAGATTGTTGATTTTATTGATTTCTGCCTCACGAATTAATCCTTGTTATGTCATCTTACCTTGTAACAGTTCTGAGCGGCGACAGCGATCTCGTCAGGGAGTCTCTGGCGGGCGTAGGACAGGTAGCAGGAAGGGCAGCCAACCACGGCCTCTGTTTGGGACAAGGAAATTTTTAGAAATTACACGTTTACCAATTCTATATGTTGCATAACAAAGAAGGAATTACCAGCTGGATGGTAGTTTTGATAAGAGACAAACGAAACTGACCTGTGTTGGGGTCCAACGAGGCCGCCGACATGAACTTGGCGATGTGGTCGATCCGGGCTTTGTCCACGTTCATCTTCCAGTTCCCGATCACGAAGAACTTCCTTTGGCCGACATTTTCTCCTTTTCTCTATTCTTTTTTACGACTTAAACACCGTAGTCTTCTTTGGCTCTTGTCCTCAGCAGTGACAAGCAACTTCTGACGATCTCAACGACAACGACTCATTTTATACGATTTTTCACCGGAAGCAGATCTCGGAGGAACCCTTTCGTATGACGTCACTCCTCGCCTTTCCTCCGCTGGCGGAATCGCTCCGCCTCCGAAAGATGAAATTATGTCGTTTGCTCCTCAATAATTATTCGTTCATAAAGGCCACTCCCACGCATTTCATTCCTGTAACACTATAAAGAATGAGGAATTCAAAGTAAGAAAGACAAATGGGAGATATTTGTCGAATACTTTTTCTCATAGATCAGGCGTGCAGGGGCGTCTTCAGGGGCGGGTCTTGAGACTGGTGTTTTGAGACCGAAGATCGGGTCTTCCGCCATGATGAGCATTCTTTATTTGTTAGATACATGCATCCAAAGACAAGCTTTTTCAATATTAGGCAGGGATCAGTATAAACACAGAGACACGCACACACATATATACACACATATTATATATATATTATATATATATGGTACCGACTATGCACCATGTATGCATCTTTACACGATTTCGTACCATGAGGTCTGTGCTAATACCCAGAAAAGGATAGGTTGATGAAGACTTGTTTTATTAAGAATTTTAACGATACCTTTGTTGTCAAGTTCGGTGTCTGTGAGTCACGTTTTGGGGATTCAAAGATTCCAAAGAAGTGAAAGGCAAAACATAATTATCCTCTTTTAAGGTTTCTTTGTTTTTGAAATGGGTTAGAGATAAACAGAGAGAGAGAGAGATAAAAGCGAAAGGGAGAAACAGAATGAGAGAAAGAGTGAGCGAATGGCAGAGAGAAAGAGAGAGAGAGGATGAGAAAAATACGAGCATGGATTCGAAGAAGTAAAATACCAACCAACCAAATAGACGAACCTTTCCCAACGAGGCGCGAGCAAAGCCCCGGACACCGGAAGCTCCAAGAACGTTTGTTTGCTTTTATGACCAAGTATAAAACTCGCGTCGCCCAGGCAGCGGCTGATAGTCTTCGCCTCAGGGGCCAGCGAGAACGTTTCCCGATGACTCTCCGTCGAGCAACCGAGATGTCGGGTCCGAGGAAGTTCCTGGTCGTGGGCGGCTGGACGCCACAAGCGGACTCGAGCGCAGGTCAGAAAGGCAGATCATGCCTCTGTGTTTTGAAGATGTGTTCATAATTTTCAAAAACAAAATTAGACATGATCATTATATCTTATAAACTGCTGAATGATCAATCGGTTAATGATAACCAAGGCTTTTGGGCTAAAAGCCGTCTTTCGATGAACGAAACTGAGAAATGTTTCTTCCACAGAAAACACGAGAGACAGTTTCTCTTCGTTCCTGTCGTACGCTCGACAGAATCTCCCTGTCGAAATCGGCACGACTGTTCCTGACGGTCATCAGGAGGAGGAAGCCTTCTGCAGGGACTGCCACTGCCACTGGGAAGTGGTGGGCGGGACTTTGTCGGGCAGTTCTGATTCTCAGCTGAAGGAAGCCATTGTCGACGCTCAGCAGGCGGGCAGAAAGGTGAGATTACATTAATCATTCTGAAGTTCTAC